CACACGTGCCTGGGCTGTGCCCCGTCTCTCCGGGGATGCGGGAGCTGGCAGCTGTCCTGCTCGCAGCCCGGCAGCGCTGAGACCTGTGGGGCCGAGGATCGCCCCAAACCCAGCACGAAATCCACGCCAGGCCAGCGCCCGTCCTGCACAGACGCAGCTGCTGTCTCCCAAATAATCTCAACCACCGGCTTTTGGCATCCCCCTCCATGCTCAGGCTCAGCTCTACCCCCTCGTCACCTCCCCCTCTTATTTATAGCCTGGCAGGAGAGCGGGACACCACAGCCCTGTCACCAGCTGCCATCCCCCGTCCCCACGTCCCACAGCCACAAGGGGCACAGCACAGGGCACCACCGAGTTAAAAACACTTTTAATGGCCACGTTTGCTTTGGTCTGAATCCAAGGGCACTTGTGACAAGGCAACTCAGAGCCCCCAAGGCACACATGGTCCCTGGGCTTCCCGGTTAGGGGGCACAGGGGCATCCAGAGCTGCAGGGACCAGCCCGGGGAGGGGGCAGCATGATGGGGGGGGCCCAGCCCCAGCTCCCTGCGCCCCACATTCAGTGCCGGGTCTCAGGGCAGGGACCGCGGTGAAGCTTCATCCCTGGGAGAGGCATCAGCTCGTGGCCCTGGTGGGGCCGAGCGCTCCCGCCCCGTGTCGCGCTGGAGCCCAGCAGTGTGAATTTTTAATCCTGCATTAAATATTGATCTCAGTAAAGCGGGCGGAAAACCTTCGTGGTCGCCCTGTGTCCACCCGGGCAGGCGCTCGGAGCTGATGGGGCTCTGTGGGTCCAGCTCACACCCCCGTGCACAGATACGGGGCGGTCTCAGCCCCCCCACCGGGAACAGCCCCTGGGAACCCACTCACCCAGGGAACCACCCAGGGGGAACCGGCCCTGCTGCTGCAGAGACACAGACTCCCCGCTTCGGGGCTCAGCAAAAGGCTTTTAACCATGGCACCGGCAGAGCAGGGATGTCTTGTGTCCCTGCGATGAGAGCCGCCCTGCCGCTGGGGTCCCCACCACCTCAACCTGTGGCTGGGGGCCCTCCCCCCCCC